AACAGTTAAGCAATATGCTAATATAGATAACATCTAAACCCAATACTATATCAGTTCACACTGTAACAGTTTTTAAGCAATATGCTAATATAAATAACATCTAAACCAATACTATATCAGTTCACACCGTAACAGTTTTTAAGCAGTATGCTAATATAAATAACATCTAAACCAATATCCCAGCTGGCCTGAAAAGCCCTGATATTGGGTGAAAGGCCTCATTGGTACTGGATATGGAAGATGTAGTGGTGTTGACACATTATTTTATATATTCTTTATTTTCAATCATAAGTTTGAAAAAGGTGAGTTTTAATATATTAGCTTGAAAGCTAGAGGTCTAGATTTGGCAGTTTTGCCTTATTACTTGGGAAGTTAATTTTCTATTAATTGATAATAGTTTTAGCATTTAATAGAATAATTTTTAAAGAATTATGTAATGAAGTACAGAGGCAAATGAGGTAAAAACAATGATAAATTTGTTAGTTCAAGATGAAAGTTAAGCTTTGTTTAGTAGAAAACGATAATGTATTAATTCTATTATATCTGATGTAATTATTGAAGTTCATATAATATATTTCTTTTACATTAGTTGTTTTTAGTCATTATTCTATTTAAGAATGTTATTGTGATACTATGAAAGTTATAGGTTATTATTTTTTACGTGTTGTTGTTATGAAACATTGAGACAATTGTGCTTGCACTTCTAGTATTGAAACTTACTTTATATTGTAGTTTATGGGAAAACTGTCAGTTTTATGTTAAACTGTGTGCATTGCAGATACCTAGTGCAACAACCTGTACCCCTACAATGTTGACCCAGACTCCTTTCAGAACACCAAAAAGTGTAAGGAGAGGACCAGCTCCATCTAGTGAGTGCCGTATACTTGGCACTCCGGACTATCTTGCCCCAGAACTTTTGTTACACAAAGAACACGGTAAGTTCTGCTTTAGGATCGCTACTCGCCTCTGTACACCGTCAAGAGCCTATTCCCTTGCCCACACTGCCATGTAATTTCCTGCACATGCCGCAAGTCTCAAACAAGCTTCCACCCCTACACGTGTCAATATATATTGTACCAACTTATGATGTAATCCATGCACAATAAATACAGACTCATTCTTTCTTTGGTACTGCTTGTTTTGCCATTAGATTTTGCGCTTATTGTTTTAAGTTGTCATTACTTATGTCATGTTAGTTTTCTTTTCTTGATTACATCAAAGAGATATACTAGATTCTAAACTTTACGGATAGAACTTTCATACAGATTGTCTTTTAATTCACTTTTTACGTTTGGGACACGTCTCATTATCTCTTCTCGTTATTTATTCAAATGTGGGTTTGTCCAGTACTCTTGAAGGTTGTCGTTAGACCTATGCACTGTTGCCCATTTTCTTTTTTAACTCATAACAAACAAACAAAAATCTGTTTTTTATATATTTATAAAAATGGACCACTACAACATCAGTTCTGTGAACTAACTGAATTATGCATTCATGTTGCCCCATTTCTGACACGTCACGAGAACTGCAGACACTGGCGGTCAGCGATATTATTGCCATTTTTCACCACATGGTTGGTTCCATTCTATTCTTAGGCCCAGGTTTCCTGACTTCCCCATTTGTTACTTTCAGCTGAGCCTGTCCATCTCATGTTTGTTTTACTACCATTGTTTCTATTCCTGCCTTTGCATTTCATTCTCTCTTCCTATTGTTGTGCAGAGAAGTCAGTATTGTTTCTGCAGTTAACATCTTCCTTACTGAAACTGTAAATCCTGAACTATCCCCCACCCTTCCTCCCCATTTCCAGTTTGCCTCGTCAAGAATGAGCCTTTGTTCACTTGCTAGTGTTGATGGGGATTACTTACCGTGTATGGAGGTTGTGTCACTCTTCTACTGGTGCAGTAGTCTAATAATGATTACCTCACAGGCTGGTGCAATACATGTTGACTCTTGTATGGGTGGAGTCTTTTTTCGAGACATGGCATGTGCAGACATTTACGTGGTAGTGCAGGCAGGGTAATAACTCTTTGTGGTGCAGAGAGGTGAGTATTTATCTGAAATACATTGTCAGGTAAGCAGGATGCTAACTTCTGGTTCATGAAGGTTCATAACATGTGTTATACAAAATTTTCTTGTGAATAAAAAAGAATAAACCAGCAATAAAAGTATATAAACATTTAAGTTGGTGATAAACCCACTAGAGGAAGCCTTTGGATATTGTGGAAACAGTTTAACTAGAACCAGAAGACTTAAAGTTTAACTTGAACCAGAAGACTTAAAGTTTAACTAGAACCAGAAGACTTAGTTTAAACAGAACCAGAAGACTTAAAGTTTAACTAGAACCAGAAGACTTAAGTTTAACTAGAACCAGAAGACTTAAAGTTTAACTAGAACCAGAAGACTTAGTTTAAACAGACCTGGAAGAGTTATTAAGTTTTTCTTTCATCACAGGTTTCCCAGTCGATTGGTGGGCTTTGGGTGTGTGCTTGTTTGAATTTCTTACTGGTATTCCTCCCTTCAATGACCAGACTCCTGAGGCTGTATTCAGTAATATACTGAACAGAGGTTAGATTTTTTTTTAAATGCCAAAGTTTTTGATAAGTGCTAATATTTATTTACCTTTTTGTGTTCAACATAAGAACTATAATGGTATACAGGGACCATGTCTTAGTATGCTTCACTTATGGGTCATTAGCTGTTTTTTTTTTTTCTAAAAACTGTAAATTATTTAAAACAAAAGGACCCAAGAAGTATCCCCTATGGATTAAGAAGCAGAGTCCCCGAAGCTCCGGGGTTTGGAACATTTGAATAGTTTAAAGTAACCGTCTAATTTCACTTTCTCTGATTAAAAATTCATTTCTCACAAGTGTAATAGCAAGAGCCCCAATGCAGTGAAACTTAAAAAAAAAAAACCTTTACTTACCATGTCATTTTGAAAGTTTTAAAATAATTGTTATGTGAAATGTGTTATGGGTTGTTTTTTTAAAAGTAAACAAGGGGCTATAGGTAAGATATTTTTTTTCTAAATTCATAATTTCTTATGAGGAAAATTATCAACAAGAAAAATAGAGAATCTGTGATAATAATAATAGTCCTCTAACATCTTAAATAAGATTTGTGGTTCTGGGCCCAACATGGCCAGGGGGTTGACTCGCAATCTGAGGATTACAGGTTCGAATCCCTGTTCCATCAAACATGCTCAACCATTGGGGCATTATAATGACTTCCTTGCATTTGTAACAAGTCTACAGTGATTTCCATACAGTTGTAACAAGTTTAAAGTGATTTCCATACAGTTGTAACAAGTCTAAAATGATTTCCATACAGTTGTAACAAGTCTACAATGATTTCCATACAGTTGTAACAAGTCTACAATGATTTCCATACAGTTGTAACAAGTATACAATGATTTCCATACAGTTGTAACAAGTCTACAGTGATTTCCATACAGTTGTAACAAGTCTACAATGATTTCCATACAGTTGTAATAAGTATACAATGATTTCCATACAGTTGTAACAAGTCTACAATGATTTCCATACAGTTGTAACAAGTCTACAGTGATTTCCATACAGTTGTAACAAGTATACAGTGATTTCCATACAGTTGTAACAAGTATACAATGATTTAGTTCAGTTTTATTTTTGTGGAAGCCAACGTCCTGACTGCTATATACAGTTGATAATTCTAAGTAGGGATTGCTGTAAGCCAGACTAATCATTTTTATTTAAGCCAGAGTTGGTAATAAAGTTATTTTGGACTTAGTATTAACGATGAGTATAGAACGATTAATAATTTGTTTATTTAATGTGTCACAAATATACAAGTATAGTTCATTGGGTGAGGTGTAACAGGTAGTATAGACATATACAAACTTATTATAATACAGAGGAAGAAATATTCATTCAACTGGTAGGAGTATTCAGAACATCCATTTGTTAAATTTGTTCCAGACATCCCCTGGCCAGAAGACGAGGAAGCATTATCGGAGGATGCTCAACATGCCGTCAATAAACTCTTAACTCTAGACCCTATGAAAAGGCCCAGTGCTACTGGCAAGTACTTTTCAGAATTATGATTTGATCCCGGCCTCTTTTTATGTATTGTGTCCCTTGATAACCAATGTTTTTCCTTTGTTTAACTGTCGTAAACTAATGTTTCTATAACAGTTGTTCATTTAAGAAGATAAAAACTTGTCACATAATTATCATTAAATATCTCGATGTAACACTTAACACATAAAAGTAGCTCCAGCACCAATACGATCATGTTGATGTAACACTTAACACATAAAAGTAGCTCTAGCACCAATATCATCATGTTGATGCAACATTTAACACATAAAAGTAGCTCTAGCACCAATATCATCATGTTGATATCATTATTTTAATGTAACACTTAACACATAAAAGTAGCTCTAGCACCAGTACCACCATGTTGATATCATTATTTTAATGTAACACTTAACACATAAAAGTAGCTCTAGCACCAATACCACAATGTTGATATCATTATTTTAATGTAACACTTAACACATACAAAAGTAGCTCTTGTACTGACATTATCAAGCAACTGTGGTGAACTATTTTTATTAAAGTTATCCTGTAAAGTAATCTTACTCGTAAATAAGGTTATGTTATTTATTGCATTTTAGTGATAATGACTCGATGAAACAAGTGTCTTTGTTAGAAATACAAAGTAATATCCCTTAATATTTCCAACCTGTTTCATTTATTGAAATAGTGTATTGTACACCAAGTTTCTACTTCAGTAAATGTTGTTACTTTCAAATTAGTCAGTTAGAAGGAAACTCCAAAAATAAGATAAAGTGAAACAATTTTCTTGTTCTTTTAAATATATTTTAGTAAACAGTTAATAATATTCCAGTAGTTGTGGTAGTATTCAACTGTCTTCTGTTTTTATCGTCTCCCAGAATTGTTAAATACACTTTCCAAATTTTGAGACATACGTAAAGGCTGGTGTGTGGTTATTAATTTTTCTTATTAGTTTGGCAGAGTGTGTGTGTGTGATAAAGGGCCGAAAATAACTACCTTCAGATGTAGTTTGTGTTTATAAAATTCTATTTGTGTGCAGGTACAAGTTTGTTTTCATAAACTTCTTAAACGGTATTGACCTTTTTTAAATATGTAATAAATACGTAAAACATGATTAATTATTTCAAAAATTCTGCTCTGATTTTATTAAGTACAATGTTTCATCTCACAGTATCAAATTGATAACTCGGTACAATTGGTCAAAATGTTGTGATTATTAAGATCAGAATTTGTCTGTTGTAAAAGTTGCTGCTATTGTATTTTTGACTTATTCATTCAGTTCAGTGGGTTTCTCGATGAACAAAACTGTCATGATTTAAAAGACTGTTTGGTTTAAATATTACTGATTAATTGATAATTGTGACTGAATATTTTATTATTTCTAAGTTATGTTATAATAAGA